GGGAAAGAAAATGTTCCTTTGGGGTTTGGGGGAAGAAAATTCGCAGATGCAGGAAACAGTTATACACCTTCTGAGAAACAGTTATTAGCATGTTATTGGGCATTGGTAGAAACAGAATAACTTACAGTAGGACATGAAGTAGCTATTCGTTCTGAAATTCCTGTCATGCAATGGGTTAAACATTCTCGAAAAACCCATTGAATTGGGCACACTCAGGAATGGGGTATTAAAAAATGGAAGTGGTACATTCAAGACAAAGCCAAAGTAGGAGTTGGCGGGGTAGCTATCCTCCACGAGTGGGTAGCTGCTGCCCCCACAAGAGATTAAGAAATAAACTCCAATTTTACAGTTGAACAAGAATCCGCTGTGCAATGGGGAAAACCTTTGGATCAGTTAACACCTCTTGAAATAGAACATGCTTGGTTTACTGATGAATCAACTAAATACATAGGGGGGAAGAGGTTTTGGAAAGTGATAGCTTACCTTCCTCATTCTGATAAATTTTCAGAGAAAACAGGGTAAGAGAAAAGCAGTCAATATGCCAGTATGCTGGATTATATGCAGTTTATACAGCCTTGAAACAAGATGATTTAGGAGAATGCCATTTATATAGAGAGTCTTGATCAGTAGCTCATGCATTAGCTACTTGCTTGTCAACATGGGTAGCCAAAACTGGAAAATATATTCCAAAGAAGTCTGGGGAAAGGAACTGTGGAAAGATATTTGGGAGATGGTACAAAGGACTAAGGTGACCATGTTTCATGTTGATGTTCAGAGTAACATGGACACCTTAGAATGACTTTATAACTCTGTTGCAGAAAACTGGGCAATGATTTCCCAAACCAGACTGGAATTCCCTCAGAAGGATGATCACAAAGTCGTGGTGAAATAGGTGCACCAAAAGTGTGGGCATCTCGGAGAAAAAAGCCACTTACATGTGAGCTCAAGAGTGTGACATAACAATGTCACCTGATATGATCAAAATAAGAATTGCCCAGTACCCCATGTGCCAATATACCCACAAGCGCCCAGTGTCAAATATTGTGAAAGAACAATTGGGGAGGAGAAAATTGCCAGGACAAATTTGGTGAATGGATTACATTGAACCTTTACCCCAGGATCAAGAGTGTAAATATATCTGTACTGTTGTAGATATATAGTCTGGACATTTGATTGCCCGTCCTTATAAGAAGGCTACTCAGCATAGCATCATCTGCACTATAGACCTCATAATTCTGTACTGTGGAAACCCATTACAGATTCAAACCATGCAGCAATATGATGAGCAGCAAAATATTCAGTGGATTTTTCATATATCATACTATCCATAAGCTGCAGGATTAATTGAACGAATGAATGGGCTATTGAAGGAGCAGTTGAGAAAGATGGGAAACGGGAACCTGTCCTGCTGGAGAGCCCATCTCATAGATACACTGCACATTCTTAATAAGAGGCCCACTGGGGAAATGCAGACCCCCTTGGTGCTCATGGCTACACTCTGTTTGCAGATACAGCCTTTAACAGGGAGTGAGAGTTTGACTTACTGGGAAATTGTCCCGAGTGTGAGTATAGGGCTAGATCTCTACGCATTGGAATTGATCAAAAGAAATCAAAACCAGATGAGAGTTATCAACACTGGAATAGGAATTCAGATTCCTCCAGGACACTTTGGTTTGATAAATGGTTACTCGAGCCTAGTCCTGAAGAGTGTTCATGTCATGGGAGAAGTGACTGATGTAAATTATCAAGGAGAAATTAAAGTAATTTTGTTAAACATCAGTGAACAAGGTTTGATTATTCAACACTATGACAGAATAGCACAGTCACTGGTAATGCCAGTTTTGAAAACAATCATGAAAAAAGGGGATCCACCTCAAGTCACCACTTTTCATGGAGATAAAGGGTTTGGATCCGCCAGTTTTAATAATGGAGCTAAAACATGGGTCCAAAGTCTAAATGGCCCTCCTGAACCAGCAGAAGTAATTGATAGCTACAGGGAAAGATAACACCATTTTGATCATGAAACCTAGGCAAGAAAAATGGGAATATGACCCTGCAACTTAGTGCTATTTGCGAGAATAACTAGATGGCATAGAATTTTGTTCTACACATCCTGCATGACTAGATTTACCTGTTTACCGCAGCGGTCCATTTGGGAGAAGATATGATCTGTGTAACTGGATATGAAGACCAATGCGAACACTGACTGACTTCCACAGACAAAAGAGGATGCCTTCATCATGAAACTATTATTATGACTCTTCTATGGGGAGAAGAGAGTGCAACAGCAGAGAGAAGGAAAGGAGGTGGAGACACCAGCAGCCATGAAGTCATGGTAAATCTGCTACCCCCGTGCTGAAAAGGGTCCTGCTGCAAAGCAGCACCAGGAGAGAGAGGAAGCCAGCACAGATCACCTGAGCCCACACCACAACATGACTTTCACCAGGGTGCTACGTGTCACAGCTCTCTTCCTGATGCAAGGGGATTTTCCAGGAATGGCAGTGAAACCGTAACTCTAAAGGAAGGAGAGGACCTAAATTTCCAGTGCACACTCAACAGTGATGACAGTTCTGCCCGGCAATGGTTAAACTTCCATTGGTTTTCCATTTTGCTCAACACCCTGCATGCTTTAAGAGATCAGAGGTACAAATTTACCCGTTATTCAAAGGACGAACTATCCATCCAACTGTCTAATGTAACAGTTCATGATGAAGGCTTATATAAATGCTTCTACCACGGCACCCTATTTAAAACCATGAACACGACTGTTGAGGTATTAGCTGCTCCTTCTAATCGAGTATTGGAAGTATACTGAGACACAGAAAGAAGCACTACATTGTCTTGCTATACCCAAGGATGTAAACCACAGCCCCAGATTACTCGGATGTTGAACAACAGGATAGAGCTCTCTGGTGACACTAAGCACAAGTTAGAAGCTGATGGAAAGAAATGGACCACAACCAGCGCACTGACAGTCCTCAGCTATGAGCCCAATTCAAGAGCCAGTTGCATTGTTCACCACCACCACTAAGAGAGAAGATGATGGCATCTTTCTGGTTTGAGGATCTCTCTAGGACAGATACTGCACTATCTGCGCTCGAGGTGGATATGCATGATACTGAGAATGACAATTCTGGAGGATCCAAACAACCAACTGTCCTTTCTGCAGTGTCACAGGATCCTGTAGTTACCAGCTCAGCATCAATGCCCACCCAGAAAAACCTCTAACCGAACATCACATCTACTTGGTCTGAAGTAACACCAGCTGCAGGAAGAAAGGAAGAATTGGGAGGTTCATCAAGTTATTATGTCCCCAGCAGGACAGCTCTTTGATTTCTAAATAGCTTGTGCATGCCACAGAAAGCTTCAATGTTATATTCCTGCAGTGATAGATAACATGGAAAGAGATCCATTCACTCTAGCTTGGAGGTTTATACCTCAACTACACACTGCAGGCTCTTTCTGTAGGCCACAGAAAGAAACACACACTTCCAGAGAGTGATTCAGAACATAATCTAAGACACCTCTTTCTGGCTTCAGTAGGGAGCCCAGATTTAAGCACCATCTTTCACATATTTAAAGATGGTTGAGATGAATCTCTACAGTATTAGCACTGAAGTCTTCTAAATATTATGATTAGAAGTGGCTGGATTAATGGGGTTTTCGTACTGTCTCTTTCTTCTCAAATATGTAAAATCAGATGAAGTCGAACTGAAGATGAACAATTCTTTTTCTTAAGTAAAGAGATAATACTTCATATTTTACATATTTTGAAGTCTAAATATGTTGTGAGATCATGCTTTTTTCATTCCTTTATTTCATATTTGATCTTGAATGTTATCCATTCTTTATCCCATAAAGCCAAGTATAAGCATTGAAGACTACTATATTATAATATACTCTGTGCTTTGTAGGTGTTCGGTCTGTTTTCAACAACATTTTAGCCTCATGCATGCTAGAAAGTATTCAGCAAAATCACTGATATCAGTTATAAAAGGTTTACTATTCCTGTATTCTACCAAGGAAAAAGCTCTATAAGGCTATAGAGCCTCATACAGAGCCTATAGTTCCCTTTTGCTGTGTTCTCTTACACTGTAGTGTCATCTCATTACAATACAGTTTAGCAATTTGCTATGGAAAAAAAACCAACAAAAAACCTGCAATGAACTACACAGTACTATTTTCAGTAAATATAATGTTTACAAATAATTTTATTGATCAGTGTTTAAACACATTCAAAGTATTAGAGAAATTAAAAGGAAAACCAATTATTTGCTTATGTGTTACATACAGAAGAAAAGGAAGAAAAAAGAAATAGATGTTCACTATGTCCATATCAAATACAGAGAAGTGTTTGGACTAGCTAACAGTGATCTTGTTTTATAATTGGGTTTATGGAGCATAATAGGGGACTCTATGCAGAATATATAACAAGTTAATGTTACTTACTTGCAGTGAGTAGTGTGGAAAGCAACAAAGCATTAACGCCCCTCTCCTGACCTGTTATTTCTGCATGAGTGAAGTGATGGAGAGAGAGCACATGATATGAATTATTTCTTTACTATAAAACCCCCTGAATTTAAGATGAGAATTCACAGAACAGGATTAAGGAGGAACCTCACAGTATTAGAAGGCCTGAAGAGAGGATCTCCTCATAAGATAAACTGTGAATTTAGCTAGCTAGCTAGCTCTATGGATAGCTATCTCTCTAGCTAGCTCTATAGCTATCTACCTAGCCCAATAGACAGACAGACAGATAGATAGATAGATAGATAGATAGTTAGATAGATAGATAGATAGATATACACATTGACACGTGTTTTTATTAGAGAAGAAAAAACTAATGAAATGTACTCTTCATAATTAAAGTGCATCTCTCTTTCTGAAATGGGAGGTGGTTAATGTATACTACTTTTGCCTTCTACTCCTTGTTTTTCAAATATTTGGTTAACTCTCCATTTTAGATTCATACCCACTGTTTTTCATGAATTATTATAACTTCCAATGTTTTGTTATTGGAGAGCAAAGAAGGAGCCCCCAATGCTGCAGTTTTAAAAGGCAGTAGAAAAAAATGCAATAATCAACTCTAACTACATTTCATTCACTTCATTTCGGTTGCTTTCTCTGCCTGGTTCTTTCCCTTTTGCTTTTGAAATCTAAAATAAACTGCATTCACGTCATAGATTTATACCAAAGGTGGTCATACATCATGTGTTTTACCAGCTCTATGATATCAATTTATTAGCAGTCTTTAACTTTAAAAATAATCTTGTATTTGAGTAAATGATTTAAGAACACTTAGGGTTTATTTACCTAACAAATTGCTTGTGGACTTAACAAGGAATTCAAGCAGCTCCCCTGGTCTTTCCCATTTGGCACCTGATTTATCCTATTAGTCCTGAAATGGAGAAAAACAAAAGTCACTTGAAGTTCAGAGGTATCATCACATCCTTACTCAATTTTAAAATATTACTTACGTAGTAAGATATCGACATAGAGTGGTGTGGTGCTTCTGACTGCCTGACCATTGCACATAGCACAACCGTGTTCAGCCATGCCCAGCACATCCCCCAGGCCTGTCCTGCACAAATTCTGGCCCTAGGACAGCGGATTTCAGCAGAGGAGCCCGCAGGCAGCTCCCGCTCAGTACCGACAATTACACCACCTGCCTGGCCTCGCTTTTATCTAACTGTGCAGTAACAAGTTCTCACACAAACATGCCTCCTGCCTGGCTAGAAATAGATGAATGGAGCTATTTTATCGTAAGAAAACAAGAGGTAGCTCAAAGGACTACAAGGGGAAGGGGTCTGCACAGGGGGTCAAAGGCCTATTTGATGCTACACCAACTGGGGCTTCAACCATCTGGAGGGACATAAAAATATCTTATACCACTCCCTTCTTCTAGTTCTAACAGTCCTCAGATGACTGCAGCAAATTACAGGTGGAAAACACTATTGCTCCCCAAGTTCTACAGCTAGCAAAGGAGAAACAATAAGATCACACAAAAAGTTTCTCTTGGCAATTTTATTTTGCGAGTGTTCAGTGTAATTTTGATTGGTGAGATCTCTAAAGCACTGGTAAACTAACATTAGGAGACTATGAACGGGGTCTACAGAAATGCTTCTAAATTTAGTTTTGGTAGAGGCAGTGTATCCTTTTGGTAACCTGCTGTAGAGGAATGGAAAACCAGGAAATCTACTTTTGTTTTCTTTTGCCTGCTTGCTTAGTGTCTACAATATCCTTTAGCACAAGAAAGACTTGCCATTAGTTTTACAAATGAAGCAAGGAATATATTTCTAATGAAAGGATACCTCAGCAAACCAAATATTATGAAGGGGATAGTGGAAAAAATGAAATATGTTCATTTTATTATTTTAAAACCTCCTGCTGTCTCCCTTTTCTAATCTACTACAGAAGCTTTCTAGCTGAGGCTGGATGTACTTTCAGTGCAAAGAACCATGCAGAGACAAGTTCATCTTTTCTGTTAAAATGAGTAATACAATTATAACTAGTTGCTTATACTGGCTCAGCGCTCAGCATGATTAATGATGCTTTCAAACTGGTTTCAGAGGAGCAGTTAAACTTGCCCTTATGAATCTCATGTCTGTCAGTTTTCCAGTGCTTTGCCTGTTTATTTCACTGCCCTGTTGCTCAGAGAAAAACAGCAGGATAGGACCGCGGAATTTTCAATTTATAAGCTTATAGGCTGTTAGATGGAAAAAATTCTGCCAAAACTCATATGAGAAGGGAAAAATGTGAACATTGAACTATTGACAGAAGGGATAACACTGGTTTATTTGGTATCAAATGAGCTGCATTGAGCAACATGGTCCACGGTGTACACACAGGCTGATAGTGAGACTTAGACTCATAGAACCAGAGAATCATGGAATAGTTTTGGATGGAAAGGACCTTTAAAGTCATTGAGTCTAATCATCACCCCAGCTCTACCAAATCAGCTGCTAAAACAAATGCCTAAGCACAGCATCTACTCATCTTTTAAACACCTCCAGGGATGGTGACTCAACTACTTCTCCAAGCAGCCTGTTCCAATGCCTGACAATCCTTTCAATGAGGAAGTTCTTCCTGTGTTGGCCACATTATTACTGATCCAGGCCAGGATGCCATTGGCCTTTTTGGTCACCTGGGCACACTGGTGGCTCATATTCAGCCGGCTGTCCACCAGCAGCCCTGGATCCTTTTCTGCCAGGCAGCTCTCTAGCCACTCTTCCCGAAACCTGTGGCGCTGCTGGGGGTTGTTTTGACTCAAGGGCAGGACCCAGCACTTGGCCTTGTTGAACTTCATACATTTGGCCCTGGCGCATTGATCTAGCCTGTCCAGATCCCTCTGCAGAGCCTCCCTACCCTCAGGTAGATCAACTCTCCCATCTGACTTAGCATTGTCTGCAAGCCTACTAAGGGTGTGCTCAATCCCCTCGCCCAGCTCATTCATAAAGATATTGAAGAGAACTGGCCCCAGTACTGAGCCCTGGGGAACAGCACTGTCCTGGTTTGAAAGCTCCAGGATAAAAGTTTTCTGGGTCTGTCAGGACCATGCAGCAATCAAACACGGGGGAGGTGAGGCAGCTGTGACTATGGGGAGGAGAGAATGGGTCAAGTAACGCAAGTGGACAAATCATGGTATTCCTCTCCATGGTGCTCAGTATAAAAGGAATCCTAAGAAGAGCGTTGGGGCCTTTGTAGCCTGCTGTGCCAGAAGGTGGCCTTTGGTCATCTGTCCCTGGGCTGCTGGTGCTCCCACTGGTGTTTTCACACTGCAGATGAGCACCGCTTGTCAGATAGATTGTCTTGCCCTACCTCCTCAGATCGGAGCAGCACAGCTCCTTTACTGGTGTTTTTTGGACCATCATTGGGACTCTGGGCTCAGGCACTCCTGTCTGCCATTAAGTCCAGTGTGGCACTTTTTTTTCCTGCTCAGGACCTTCTTATCATCCATGAGACATAGGTCCCCTATTAACATATTCTCTTGTATCTTTGAAGATATTTGCACACTTGCATATGTCTGTACAT